GCTCAGCTGCTAAATGCATTCACCTGTTCACCTATTTCATACATTCTGCCCTGTAGGGGCGATGAAAGACAAGTGAGGGCTCAAGGAGCTTAGAACCTACCTGGGTAGAAAAAAACTAATGTGCAAAAGACAGGGACAGAAAGATAAATGTGACATAGGGCAAGTCCCCAAATAAGGGGAAGGACCATAACAAGAGAAGAAGAGACAGATTGAATCTCAGTGGTCTGGAGCGATTAGATGTGGCTTCTCCGAGCCGGGAAAGATGGTACCACCAACAATAATATACCAGCGATAATCACCCCTTATTTTTTCTTTTTCTTTTTTTTTTTTTTGAGACAGAGTCTCGCTTTAATGCCCAGGCTAGAGTGAGTGCCGTGGCGTCAGCCTAGCTCACAGCAACCTCAAACTCCTGGGCTCAAGCAATCCTGCTGCCTCAGCCTCCCGAGTAGCTGGGACTACAGGCATGCGCCACCATGCCCAGCTAATTTTTTCTATATATATTAGTTGGCCAATTAATTTCTTTCTATTTATAGTAGAGACGGGGTCTCGCTCTTGCTCAGGCTGGTTCGAACTCCTGACCTCGAGCGATCCGCCCGCCTCGGCCTCCCAGAGTAATAGGATTACAGGCGTGAGCCACCGCACCTGGCCTTTTTCAATTTTTTACTGAGATAAAATTCACATAGCATAAAATGTACTGTTCTAACCACTTAACACATGCAATCCAGTGGTTTTTAGTACACTCACAAAGCTGTGCAACCACCACCTCCGTATAATTCTAGAACATTGTCATCATCCCCCAAGGAAACTCCAGACCTGTTTGCAGTCACTTCCCATTTCCCCATTGTCTCAGCCCTTGGAAATCACTAATCTACTTTCTCTATATATAGATTTGCCTATTCTGGACATTTCTGATAAATGGATTCATACAATATGTGGTCTTTTGTATCTGGCCTCTTTCACTTAGCATAAAGTTTTTGGGACTCCTTAATGGGTATGGGGTTTCATTTTGGGATGATGAAAATATTTTGGAACTAGATAGAAATGATGTTTGAACAACATTATGAATGTACTAAATGCCACTCTCTTAAATGGTTAATTTTATGTTATGTGAGAGTTGCCTCAATTTTTTTTTTTTTTTAAGAGACACATTGCTATGTGGGTTGCCCAGACTGAAGTGCAGTGACTATTCACAGGCACGATTGTAGCACACTGCAGCCTTGAACTCTGGGGCTCAAGTGATCCTCCTGTCTCAGCCTCCCAAGCAGCTGAGACTATAGCCCCATGCCACTATGCCTGGCAATTTTTTTTAAAGAAGTGAAAAATGTCAAAGTATACCCCCTTTGACTCAGCAGTTCGACTTTAGGAACTTTGGCTAAGGGTACATGTAAGCATATATGAAATGGTGTATTTACAGCATTGGTCACTGCAGCAATGTTTGAAAGATCAATTACAGACATCCTAGATGTCTATCAGTAAGAGACAGGTTAGAAAAGGGAGCTACAGCTGGGCATGGTGGCTCATGCCTATAATCCTAGCACTTGGGGAGGTCAAGGATGGGAGGATCAATTGAGCCAAGGAGTTCAAGGCTGCATTAAGTTATGGTCGTGCCACTGCACCCCAGTCTGGATGACAGGGGAACCTGTCTCTAAAAAGAAGGGGTGGGGAGCTACAAGAATAAGTTATCTCTTATAACATAGGTTGACTAGAGGGAGGGGATTTTCAGTGTTTTCTGTTTTTATTATTGTTGAATCTTGAATTATGTGAATGTATCATTTTAAAATGATATGAAAAACATTATTTGAGGAGGAGGAAATAACCTTCTAAATAAAAAACATTGTGGGCACAAAGGTGTGAGAGGAAGGGAAGGCAGGAGGATGGTAGGCAAACAGTTAAGGCCTACCCGGATTCATCTCATAAATGACAGGCACTTGAGGGGACTTGGCTTTACACACCTTGGGACCCAGAGACAGTAGGTCTGGGACTGGGTGAAACAGTGGGAGGTTAGCTTGGGAAGCATTAAGAGTTCATTTGTAGGGAAGAGGCCTTTGCAGGGCTTAGGGAAGAGAAAGCTTCCAGCCAGAGGTGGAAAGGTAAGTTTTCCGTATACGGTTCCTTGAATTGTATCTCTTTTGCACTTTGATTTATAAGAGGTCTTTTATATATTAAGGAAGTTTGCCCTTAGTAGCATATATTACAGTTTTCCACTTTTTATTTGTTCTTTGACATTTTTCTAGTGTCAAAAAGACAAAATCACAACAAATTTAGTTATAGAGTAAATTGGCATTTATTAGTGATTTGTCACAAATGGATGCAGCCTCCATTATACAAAATAGAATGAGAGCTCCCATTGGGCAGTGGCAGAACAGTGGGGTTTGTCAGGTAGGAACCTAAGAAAAAAAGTTAATTGCTTAATGTCAGGTTACACCCCGTTACCTTTCTTAGTAAGGGTACAAGCAGAAGGGACCTTTCTATTACAATGACTCTTGAATATACAGGAACCTCCTGCTTTCAGGAAAAACTGTTCTGTTTTGGGATCTATCCACATCCTTAAAGTTTCATTGTGATTATGTGGCATTTAGCATGAGTGATTCCATTTTGGTTTGGTCTGGTCTGGGACCTAGCACAGGAGCTCAGTCCAAAACAATGGCCTGCCATAATTTTTGTTTAATACTAGTATTTTTTTTAACCAGAAAGAAATTTAAAATTTCATGTTGTTATGTTTCAATCTATTCCTGAATGGCTTCTTTATCTTACCAGATAATATCCAGTGTCCATGCAAGTGTGAAAAGGGAATTTATATATAGACCTCTATGTGTATTGGTACAGTGTTGTTGAAGAGTGATTTAATAGCAACCTACATTTAAATTGTAGATGCCTTTTAACCTATTGACTCCTACAGAAACAGTCACATTCATGTTTATTTATTTTTTATTTTTTATTTTTTTATTTATTTTATTTTTTTTTTTTGAAACAGAGTCTCACTTTGTTGTCCAGGCTAGAGTGAGTGCCGTGGCGTCAGCCTAGCTCACAGCAACCTCAAACTCCTGGGCTCGAGTGATCCTTCTGCCTCAGCCTCCCGAGTAGCTGGGACTACAGGCATGCGCCACTATGCCCGGCTAATTTTTTTTTTTTTTATATATATATCAGTTGGCCAATTAATTTCTTTCTGTTTATAGTAGAGACGGGGTCTCGCTCTTGCTCAGGCTGGTTTTGAACTCCTGACCTTGAGCAATCCGCCCGCCTCGGCCTCCCAAGAGCTAGGATTACAGGCGTGAGCCACAGCGCCCGGCCACATTCATGTTTAAAGATATGCACAAGGGCCAGCTGAGGTGGCTCACTGCCTGTAATCCTAGCACTCTGGGAGGCCGAGGCAGGCGGATTGCTCCAGGTCAGGAGTTCGAAACCAGCCTGAACAAGAGCGAGACCCCATCTCTACTATAAATAGAAACAAATTAATTGACCAACTAATATATATAGAAAAAATTAGCCGAGCATGGTGAAGCATGCCTGTCGTCCCAGCTACTTGGGAGGCTGAGGCAGGAGGATTGCTTGAGCCCAGGAGATTGAGGTTGCTGTTAGGCTGACGCCACTGCACTCACTCTAGCCTGAGCAACAAAGGGAGACTCTGTCTCAAAAATAAATAAATAAATAAAGATATGCACAAGGATATTTTTCGAAGTATTGTTTATAATAGTAAAAAATTAGGAAGCATCTATAGGGAAATGGTTACAAAATGAGGCTATTCTGCAGCAATCAGCCTTGCTCAAACAAAAAGAGTATAAGGCCAGGCGCAGTGGGTCACGCCTGTAATCCCAGCACTCTGGAAGGCTGAGGCAGGAGGATTGCTCGAGGTCAGGAGTTCGAAACCAGCCTGAGCGAGACCCTGGCTCTACCAAAATTAGAAAGAAATTAATTGACCAACTAAAAATATATAGAGAAAAAATTAGCCAGGCATGGTGGCGCATGCCTGTAGTCGCTGAGCCCAGGAGATTGAGGTTGCTGTGAGCCAGGCTGATGCCACGGCACTCACTCTAGCCTGGGCAAGAAAGTGAGACTCTGTCTCAAAAAAAAAAAAAAGTATATACCATACCATGTAATATCATACAGCACTTAAAAAGCATAGAGTAGTTTTCCCCAGGTGCAGTGGAGAGGGTAGGGAGGATCACTTGTGTCCAGGAGTTCCAGTCCAGCCTGGGCAACACAGTAAGACCCTGTCTTTCTTTTCTTTTTTTAAAGCATAGAGTAGCTCTATATGTGCTAATACTAAAGGATGACTATGTATAGTAAGTGAAAAAACACAAATTATTGAAGAATATCTGTAATTTTCAATTATGGGAAAATCTGAAATTCTGAAAAGATGCCACCCAATTATTTCCAGTCTCTTTTTCTGGAGAGGAAAGGGAATGAGATGGAAGGAAAAATTTTTGAAGGGATTATTTCAAACTTTACACTATAGTTTCCTTTTCGTTTTCTTTCTTCCTTTTTTTAAATAAACACATTTTGCTTCTTTAATTTCAAAAAAGAAAAAGAAGACTCTGGTTTCACTTCAGATTGTATAAATCCACTAGAATGTAAGTTTCAAGAAGTCAGATACCTCGTCTACACTGTTCTCCTTTATATCCTCAATGCCTGCAACAATGCCTAGTGCAAAATAAATGCTTGTTGAATTAAAAAGGAAAACTTACAAATTTACTGGGCAATCGCTATGAAGCAGACGCTAAACTGTAGGATGAGATTGCAAAGAACAGGTATCAGTTGACAATGCAGCCTTAAAGCTCTCGTGCTCAGTTAAAGCTCGAGACAACCTTCTGCGCTTTGGGTTGCAAATCGCTAAGTTCTCAGGACAGACAGCCGGGCTAACGAAGCCCATTAGCGAAGGCGGGGAATTGAGGTTCAGTACTTAAATTTAAAGCAGCGAGTGAGGTTGCTTAGCAACCCGGTAGAGGAGACCGGCTGCACTGCGCATGCGTACAAGAACGGGTTGTGTGTTTGTTTGTTTTTTGCGCACGCGCGGGAGACGGCCTCCGGGCGTTCAGGGCCTGACGGTTGCTAGGGTGACAGAGACACAACATGGCGGCTGGATCCTAACGCTCTCCGTCCAGGGACCATCGCGGAGGTCCTAGTGCAGGACCCCGCCTCAGGGAAGTGGAAGACAGGGGGGCCATCCTTCCTGCCTCTTTCTTTTCCTTCCAGTGTCGGCAAGGGGTTGTCGCCGGCTTCCGCATCCAGGATGAAGAGTGAGTGGGCCAGGGAGGGGCGGAGACGAGAGAGAGTGGCGGGGGTCTGGAGGTTGGGGGGCCCTGAGGCGGCTGTGCGCCCGAGCGGCGGGGCGGGCGGGCGGCTGCTTGGCAGGCCGGGGAGAGGCGCCGCGTGTGGGCCCCCAAACCTCTTTGGCTGTGAGAAGCCGGCACCCCCGTGGGGAGCTCAAGGGGTTCGGAGTGGTCTGGGAACTTTGGGGTCTCAGAGCGCCGACTCGAGTTCCCTAGTCCCGCCTAGCCCTGTTTTGGTTTTGGTACATGGTTGTTATGTTGGAGTTTGGAGTTGAGTGTGATTTTTTCTTTTTTTTCTTTAAATGGTGGATTGAACCTGACGTTCTTTTCTTGAACGTTCGGCAGTAGGGTAATGAACGCTTGTACTGTAGCTCTCTGCCTCGGTTTAGTGTCCAATTGAGAGCAAAGCTGGGCTGTGTATTTTATTTTTTGGATCAAGCAATAGTGTTTTTATAGGGACTACTTTTATAGAAACTTTGAAGCAACGTTTTGGTGCCATTAAAAGCTGTTAATTAGAAGCTGGGAAATGTAGCGAGTAAAAAAATTTACCTGTGGCTGGATTTGTGGATTATTGACAATCATAAATCATAGTGCCACCAACTAGATTTTTTTTTTATTATTACATTACTGAGCAGATATAATTATCGGTTGTGGTTGTGAGCCTGAAGTGCGGAAAAATTCTGACCTCCCTTGCTGTGAAAAGATTAAATTGTGTGAGGAGTAGTTATAATGTTAAATTTGCATTGTGTCTTAATTGTCATTTGGTAATTAGCATATACTATAAATTGCATAACAGATATTTAAAATAATTCATTTTTATTTTCTTTTGTTGGATGTTGTTTACATGTTTATCTTTTTCATTAATTCGCTGCAAAGCGAGCGTAGTTAGAATACACGGTCTACAAAAGGCTTACAATTTTACTTGCAGTGTAGACTTAGTACAATACAGTACAACTTAGTACAATACTGTACATATTTTGTACTATATTCATTTTTTTCCTCCCATCTGGTTTATTTTGAAAATTTTCAAATGTACAGGAAAGTTATAAAAATAGTATATTGAAAATTTATAAATCCTTCACCTAGATGCACCATTTTGCCTTATTTTGTGTGCTCACTTTTGCTCTGATGTTTTTTCTCTCTCTAATTTATACATTAATTTTCATAGAACCTTTTGAGAGTTAGTAATAGACGTCATGACACTTCATCACTAGTAATTCAGCAAGTATCTGCTAGGAACAAGGACATTCTCCTATATAATCACAATACAAATAACGTATTTAGGAAATTTAATGTTGATACAATAGTTATCTAATATACAGTTTATATTTCAGTCTTTCCATTTATCCTGATAATGTCTGTTATAAGTGCTTTTATTTTTTCCAGGATCCCATCACGAATCACAAATCACATTTTTTTGTCATATCTCTTTGGTTTTCTTTAATCTGGTATGGTGCCCCTGCTTTTTGTGTCTTTTATAACCATTACATTTTAAAGAATGCTCAGGTGTTTGCAGAATGCCTCTCAGTTTGGATTTGTTTGATTGTTTCATCATGATTAGCTTTGGCTTAAATATTTTTATCAGGAATATGTGAGAGGTGATGTTGTGTCTTTGTCAGGGTGTCCTTTCCCTAGTGCTCATTGTGATTTTGGTGATATCAGATTTGATTGTTTGATCATTTCGTAGTCGCGCTCTGTCACTTAGGCTTGAGTGCAGTGGCACAGTATAACTCACGGCATCCTCAAACTTTTGGGCTCAAGAGATTCTCCTGCCTCAGCCTCCAGAGTAGCTGGGACTACAGGTGCATCTCACCATATCCAGCTATTGTTTTTCATTTTTTAGTGACAAGGTCTTGTTATGTGAGGCAACCATTATTACCAGTGTCCTATGTCTGTTTGTCTGTCTCTCTCTATATATATATAAAAATGTGTATGTATATATAAATGTGTTCCTGTCCCTCCCTGTTTAAAAGGTTAAAGTTATATATACATATATAGAAGCATATATATGTATATATACAATTGTAATTTATGATTTGTATCTTTTAAACTTTTGTATTTTTAAAATATATTAGGTATTATTTGATATGTTCTTTACATAGTCATTTTGATAGTTTTTTGGAGACAGGTCTTGCTCTGTCATCCTGGCTAGAGTGCAGTGGTGTCATCATAGCTCACTGCAACCTCAAACTCCTGGGCTTACGCGATCCTCCTGCCTCAGCCTCCCAAGTAGCTGGGACTACAGGCTTGCCCCACCACGCCTGGCTAATTTTTCTATTTTGCAGAGACAAGGTCTTGCTCTTGCTCAGAGCTGATCTCAAACTCCTGAGCTAAGCGATCCTCCTGCCTCGGCCTCTCAGAGTGCTAGGATTACAGGTGTGAGCCACTGTGCCCAGCCAGTAGTGACATCTTTATTCTCCCTTTCTTTCTTCGACCTTAAGATCCAGACTAAGAATTAGTGTAACCTTTTATCCCCGTTTTAAGTCCTGATCATTAATTAAATGATTTACAAATAGTTAACAGGAATAACAAATATTCCTGAATAGGACATCACAGAAATAGAGTCATGGAAGTAGAATGAACAGGAAAAGTGAGTAATGGTGAAATTGGATCCATAGCTTGGGGTCAGAGTGGGGCTGGGAATGCTAGCTAAATTATCATGGGAGTCTTTATTTTAGGATTTTCTAGATATATTTTCTTATTTGCTTTCTAGGCAATGCCTACATGTTTAGGGATGTATTGTCATTCTGTAGAGTGTCCCTGGCCTCCTTTTTATTTTGCATCATTTGCAATAGTAGGGAGCAAGGAGTAACACAGTGTAGTTGTTAAGAGCATGGGCCTGGGAGCCAGGCAGACATGATGGCAGCTTCAGGTAAGTTACTGAACTTTTTTCCTTATACTAGTTTTCTTCGTTGTTCCAGTTATCTATTATTGCTTCATAATAAATAACTGGAATTTAGTAACTTAAAATAACAACAATCAATCTCTTTCATGGTTCTTTGGGTTGCCCAGACTCAACTAGGCTGGTCTTACTTGGAGCTTCTCATGAATTTACAGTTCAGTAGGTAACTAGAGCTACAGTAATCCTAAAAGTTTCTGCATTCACATGTCTGGCAGTTGCTGCTGTTCACTGATACCTCAGCTTGGGCTGTCAGCTGGAACACTACATGAAGTCTCTCAGTGTGGTTTGGGTTTCCTCACAACATGGCAGTTGGGTTCTGAAAGTGAGCATCCCAAGAGTATGAGGTAGAAGCTATTAATATTACCTTTTCTGACTTAGCCACAGAAGTGGCATAGTGTCACTTCTGTAGTCTTCCAAATTCAAGGGAAGGGAAATAGATCCCACTTTTTTTGTTATTCAGAGATTGGGTCTCGCTTTGTCACCCAGGCATGAGTGCAGTGGCACAATCATAGCTCACTGCAGCCTCAAACTCCTGGGCTCAAGTGATCTTCCTGTCTCAGTCTCCTGAGTAACTGGGACTACAGGCACACAGATCCCACCTCTTACTGGAGCAGTGTCGAAGACTCATTATAAAACGAGCCTGTGGGATGGCATATTTAGAAGTTGCTGTCTTTGGAAAATAAAATCTTCCATACTCATCTTTAAAAAGGGATAATAATACCTATCTTATAGGATTGTTTCAAAGGTTAAATGAGATAATCTATGTAAAGCTCATAGCATAGTGTCTGTTACATGGTAAACTGTGAATTTATTATTATTTGCTTTCCCAGTGGGTGGAAGGCAGGGATATAAAAAGGGAAAGAATGAACACCCTTGGTCAGATCCTTACTTTGAAAAGTTTTGCCTTTAATCTAATTGGAGAACCAATTTTTTTCCTATTTGAGCTTTTTAATGTATTATTCAAAATATACCTATATAATACCTTAACTTTGCAACAAAAAAAAAAAATATATACCTATAAAAAGAGAAAACATTACATATTCTGAAGGTGGTAACAGTTTGCTGTTATATCACAGAGAGAATTAAAACAATTATCTGTTGCAGTTGGAGTGAGGTTTAAGGTTTGTCTTTCTTTCTTTTTTTTTTTTTTTTTTGATTTATGCAAGGTCACTTCAGGTTTGTCTTTCTTAAAGTCAGTGTTTTCATAGAATCAAGGTTGCACAGTACCTCAAATCCTTTTTCATTCTCTCCTTCTTAGTGTGCCTGTCGCCTTCTGTTTTTATAAATAGATGCATCAATTAGCAACTTTTTCTCTAGAAATTAAAACAAAATGAAGTAAAAGTAATACTGGCTTTGTGATAAATTCAAGTAGTAGAAGGTTTTAAGTTAGTCTCAGGACCCTTGCCTACTTGGCACAGTTAATCCTGGTTAACATTTTCTTAGATGTATATCCATAAATTTTCTATGCATATTTTCTGTGTGTGTGTGTGTGTGTATGTGTGTGTATGTGTGTGTGTGTGGAGAGAGAGAGAGAGAGATATTAAGTATACAATGTCCGATTTCCTTAAGTACTAAGTTTGACAGTTGATATCTCTGACATTTCACTTTGACACTTCTTGTTTTATATTTATTGAGAAGGTACATCTCAGTCTTTCAAACACATATTTTGGCTTATGATTATCTTTGACATTTTTTTAGAGCGATGTGAAACCATGGATAAGTAAAAAATTCATGTTATTTTCAAATATGAGTTCTGTAGTGGAACTAATGCAGCACAGATAGCTTGAATGAAATATCAATGAAGTGTTTGGGAAGGATGTGGCTAATGAACACACAGTATGTTGATGGTTTCAGAAGTTCTGTTCTAGTGATTTTAATCTAAAAAATGAGCCACGTGGGCAACCTGATACCAAGGTGGATAAAGATGAGCTGAAAGCTGTAGTGGAAGCAAATCCATCTCAACCTACAGGTGAATTAGCAGCAAGGTTTGATGTTATTATTCCAACAAAATTGGACCATTTGAAACAGATTGGCAAGGTAGAGAAGGTGGATAGATGGGTTCCGC